GCTCGTCTGTGGCTGGAGCCGGCACTGCACTGCAGTGAGCCCATGGCCTGTGTGCCCTGTCTGGAGGCGCGTGTGCGCCTGGCCTTGGCACCTGCCGCCAGAACCACCAGTGCCACCGAAACCCACCACTCCGTGCTGCTAGGGATCCCTGGGGCAGAGGATGGCAGTGGCGGGGGACAGTGGTCACCAGTGGCTGGGGTCACTTTGTCCCAGCCCAATGTCACTGGGCTGCTGCTGCTCTCAGGGCACACATTTGCCTCCTCCCGCTGTGTGGCCGTGGAGGTCTGGGCACCTCTGGCCCCCACCCAGCGCAACCGAACCCTGGTACGTAAGTGCGGGGACTGGCAATGGGTGTCCCAACACTGTCAGTCCCTGGGCACTGAGGATGTGGGCGCTGGCACCGGTGCATCTCCATGGCACGGGGGGTCCCGTGCCCCAGGGAGGTGGGTGCTGGCGGTGCCGGTGCCTCACCGCAGAGGGGTGGTGGTTTTCCTGCCCAGGGTTGGGTGATCTTCCGGTGCTTCGAGGCACCGCTGGGCTCTGAGCTCCACGTCACGGCGTACACAAACTCACGTGGACAGCGGAGTCTGAGCCGGCAGAAGCGGGTGCCAGGTGAGCCCCGGCGTGCCACCTGCGGTGGTCCCATCCCCCTGCCCACTGACTCCCTGTCCCCACAGACTGCTCATGGCCCCCGGCACAGGCTGCTGTCCCCCAGTGCCAAGGTATGTGCTGGTCACCTCACCTTGGTTTGCATCCCCTGGGGAGAACTGGGGGATGCTGGATGCTGGGGGCAAGAGTGACCCTGTGGGTGCCATGCCCTGTGCCATGTGGCTGGATGGGTAGTGCCAGGAGGTGGGTGACCTGAGCCGGCTCTGGTGCAGTGCCCAGGCTGCGGATCTCCCCAGGGCAGAAGGAGGTGGTTGTGGAGGTGCAAGGGGCTGTGGCAGGGCACAGCTACACGCTCTGGCTCTACCACAACCGAAGCCACAGTACTGGTGGGCTGGGGCATGCAGTGACTGTGGTGAGTATGACCCCCTTCCCTGACCCCCCCACCTTGGCTGATCCCTGGCTGCTGCCCCCTTCCCTGTTCCCGAGAAGCCGTGTCTGTGTTACAGGCAGTGTGCTGGGAGAGGGTTCCCTGGGAGCAGGTCCCCCTGGGTGACCCTGCTGGGGCACGATTTGCCACGGGGTGACCCACATCTGGTTGCTGCTAGCAGAGCAGACTCATGAACTACAGCCTGCCTGCCGATGAGGTGCTGCCCTGCCTCTGCCTGCAGGTGGGCACCCAGCTGGGGCACTGTGGGGGTGGCAAGGTGCCACCAAAAAAGAGGCTTTCCAGGCTCCATGTGTCCCAAGGGGACCAGCTGAGTCACAGTCACAGTATGGATATCCCAAATCCTCCCTTTTCGTGTCTCTCTCTCTGCTCCTAGGTCTGGCTGGAGACCCAGGACCCACTCAGGGCCACCCTGTGCCCCTTCTCGCATGGTAGCTGCACCTTGGGGCTGGGGTGTGGGGTTGCTGGGACACAGAAGGACCTGAGGGGAGACCACATGGGGTGAGACCCTTCTCCTGGTGCCACCACAGATGCCAAGGCCTGGGAGCGACTGTGGATGCAGAGCCATCTGGTCCTGCACACTGAGGGGCAGGTGCTGACCTGCTCCCTCTCAGCCCCCTGCGACCTCCCAGCCAAGCTGGTGCCCTGCTGGCAGCCAGTGCCCTCCGGGCCCTGCCAACCCCTCCCTGGCCTGCAGCAGCCCACCATAGGGCAGGTGAGTGGGGTTCTGTGGGATGCTGGGGGCTCGTGAAGGGTGCAGGTGGCATTCATGGAGCAACCCTTCCAATCGCAGGGACCCCAGGAGTTTGGAAGGCTGCGGCCACACCCCAACCTCTGTGTGCAGGTAGGACACCTCTCTGCTCCACAGCTGCCCCATGGGCAGCCCCACAGGCAGCCCCAGGCACTGCTAACCCGCTCTCTGGGGCAGGTGTGGAGTGGTGGGCAGGTCCGGTTGATCCAGTGCCTGCGGGACCGTGAGTACTGCTGGGGTGGGAAGGCAGGGGCAGCCTGTGGGTTCAGCTGGGGGGGAAGCCCGCCCTGGCCTCCCCTTGCCGCCCCCCCAGCCCCCTGGCACATCCCCAGGAGCGCTGCCCGGCCGCCCCGATGACCTCCTGCTGCTGGAGCGTGGGGGGAATGCCTCGCTGTGCGCTGTGGAGCAGGATGCCTGCACGCCCCTCGCCAGCTTCACCAGCACGGTAAAGGGCAGGGACACCCATGTCCTGGTGGCGGTGGCAGTGGTGGCACAGGGACTCCTGTGGCCAGCAGTGGTGGCACAGCTGCCTGACCCCCTGTGCTGTTGCAGGGAAGGGGGCGCCCCGGGCTGCTGGAGCAGGATCTGCAGCGGGATGTGGCAGCAGGGCAGTGCTGGCAGGTCAGTGTGGGCAGCCAGCAGGTAGTGGTCAGGGACTGGGCAGCATCTGACATGTCCCTGTGTTCCCCCAGATCTGGCACCCTGAAAACAGCACCGAGGTCGTGCTCTGGGCCTGTCCCATGCACAAGTGTGAGTGTCAATGGCCATGGTGTGGGAGAGGGGGAAAAATGGGAAATTGAGGGGGGGCACCCACCTGTGTAGCCACCAGAGACCTCCCTGGGTGCCGGGGGCCCTTGGTGGATGCAGATCCTGCCCCACAGACCTGCGTGCCCGCTGGGCACTGGTGTGGATGGGGGTGCTGCTGGCAGCTGCCTGTCTCCTACTCCTGCTCGTGCTGAAGAAGGAGGACGTGAAAGGTGAGTGGTACACCCCTGGGGGCTATGCTTGTCCTGGGACCCCTCCCAGGATCCCACCTCACTGCCTCTCCTCCTCACAGGATGGCTGAAGTCACTGAGGGCTGGTTATGGCTCTGAGGGTGAGTGTGGGGTGAGCCTGGGATCTGGGGGATGTGGGCAGACATAGGGGTCAGGGGAGCCCACCCAGAGCAGGGTGGGCTCCCCTACCAGAACAGGTCCAGGCTTGCCTGCCCCACAGGGTAGGTAGAGGTGTAGGGAACAGAGAAGAGGGTGGCAATCCTAGCCATGGGAAGACAGGTTGTGTCTCCTATGACCTGTCTCCTATGATGGCTGTCCCTTAGGGTGGGTAAGGGGATTCGGGAAGGGGACCGGGGGACTGAGCAGGGGATGGGTCCCACGTCGGTGGTGGTCTTAGCTGCTTCCCATCGTGCCTGTTCCTTAGCTTGGGTATGGGAGGTTGAGGGACAGAGGCAAAGAATGCTCTCCTCCCATCACGGGTGCTCCCAGCATGCCTCCCACCACAGGATGGGTACAGGGTGCCTAGAGGGATCCAGACACTGATGATCCCCCCCAGGTCCCCTGCAAGGCCGGCGGGCACTGCTGGTACACGCGGCGGAGCCGGCGGCGGAGCGGGCGGCGTGTGCCTTGATGGCAGCTCTGCGCCCACTGGGGCTGCTGGTGGTGGCAGCACCAGGGGGTGGCAGCGGGGTAGCGGCGTGGGGACCACTGCCCTGGCTGCACGCCCAGCACCGCAGGGCACTGCGTGACGGTGACACCATCATCTTCCTCCTCTCTCCTGCCGCAGTGGCTGCTGCACAACAGTGGGACACGGGGGCCAGGGTTGTGCTGGAGGCTGGGGCTGCTGAAAGCAGCCTCATCCCCCAGCACAGCCCTGGCCCTGCTGATGTCCCAGCCGTGGCACCCTGTGAGGTGTTTGCGGCAGCTCTGTCCTGTGCCATGCCGGCACTGGCGGCGGGCACTGGGCGCTACATGGTGGTCCAGCTGGAGGCCTTGGTGCCGGCAGTGCCCCCAGCACTGCAGGCAGCCCCTGCCTTTGCACTGCCCACTGAGATGGGGGGGTTCCTGC